CGTCTCGTGGCTGGTGTATATTAGTGACTATATCCCACCCGTATAACTGCGACAGAGACACCTGAAGGGTCTGTGCCAGCAAGGTCTCCTCTTGGTGTCAAGTCTCTGTGAAATACAGAAAGCGTTGGCTGTTGGTCAGGGAAAATGAACAAGCTTCTTCCAAAGTCCAAAAGCATAAGTTCCCCGTTCAGCAAGTGCCCTTCACTCCCAGGACATGTCTCTGATTCCCGAAAGGGGCAATTCCGTGCTAGAGCTAAAACAGTGTCAGCAGATTTCTGCTGGCAACTGTGTTGCCTCCTAAATCCAAAGTATATGTCAATGGCAGTATCAGAATTGCTCATACAAACCGCTGTTTAAATTTGCTCTTCAGGTATGTATGGTCAAATCCCCCATTTCTGTGGGGCACAGACGCTCACTGCTGTTACGGGTCAAAACCTCTTTCTTTTCTAAAGCCGTGTGACTGTGGGTCCCAGAGGAACTCACGCTCCGGTTTGTCCAGCTGTGTTTGCGGCTGTGCTGTGAGGCTGTCCATCGCTGCAGACTTGTGGGACTGTCATTTGTTCTTCCTTTTTTCTTCTTTCCATCTTTGACTTGTGCAGAACGTCACAGCCAACCACAGGATAAACGACACCATCGCTAATGAAGACGGTCCCCAGACCTTAACTGGAAGGTTTATGTACGGTCCGTTAGATATGGTCACGCTCACAGGGGAAAAGGTACTGTCTGCGCTGGGGGAAATGCACCGCGGGGGGAAAACAGTCCTGAGGGACAGGGGCAGTGTTAGTTGATGCTCCCTTGGTGCCTGCCCGGGTTTGGCACCCTTGTGTCCTTGCCAGGCTCCCCTGCTCACACACGGGTGGTGCCTTCTCCCAGGACTGGCTGTGGATGGGAGGCTTTTTCAGAGCTGAGGTCGGTTTTCATCCCAGCAGCGGGATGTTGAGGCACTTCTCAGATTAGGTCTGCAAAGCGCAGGTGGAAGTAGGACCCAGCCCTGCTGCTGGCCAAAGGGACTTGGGTAGAAGGTCCAGGCACTTGGCCTATTCTAGTCGTCTGTGTCACCTTTGATGCTGCTGTTGACCCAGCGTCGCTGTCTTCCCAGGTGGACATTCACATCATGACCCAGCCGCCGTCCGGAGAGTGGGTTTACTTTGACACCGAGATCAGCAACAGCAGTGGCAGGATTTCTTACGTCATCCCTGAGGGCAGGCGCTTGGGCATTGGCGTGTACCCTGTCAAGATGGTGGTCAGGTGAGGTAGCTTGTGCGTGGCAGGGTCTGCAGGAGGACACAAAGTGCTTGAAATAAGCCATGTGATTGCATGATACGAAATCATACAGCTATTGCCAATGAAGGAAAGAAGGATGTGATTGAGAAAGTGATTGTCTGCAGAATATAGTCCCTCCTTATGTGGCAGCTCAGACCCTCGGGTGTGTTTAGAGTCTGATTTGCCAGCAACGGGACAAAGCCTTGTTTACTCTACAGCTATAAGAGGAGAATCCACGTTTGACTCTGACTCCTGCCTCACCAACAGCATGGTAATTGATTTCCCACTGCAGGGCAGGCCTTCTGCACCCCAGATGTATGGCCTTGCTGTCATCTGCAAAACTGCACAACTAGGAATATTTTAAAGACCATAAGCTCGTCCTTGAGGGACAGAACTTTGTTCTCACGGTAATTCACAGCCCAGGGCTCCAGCTCGGCTACAATTGCTGGCGTTCGGCTCTGGAAGGAGGAGGAGAGGAGCATCTTTTCAGTGGCAAATCTAGCAATGTCTTCTTGAGGGTATTTTTTTGAACCACTGAAATGCACTGAAGCCAGGGCTCCAAAGTACTACTCCCAGCCCCGCGTTAACACACATGGCATTTCCGCAGCACCCATCACTGCTGTAGCTGAGGGTGGCGTAACCAGCAGAGGCTTGAGGCCAGATTTGGGGTCCTGCATTGGGCTTTGCGCTACCTTCCAAAAGAGCCTCCATGTCTTGAAGCTTTTAAATATCCGTGTCCCTTTCAGGGGTGACCACACATACGCAGACAGCTACATCACGGTTCTGCCAAAGGGGACGGAGTTTGTGGTGTTCAGCATCGACGGCTCCTTTGCAGCCAGCGTGTCCATCATGGGCAGCGACCCCAAAGTCCGCGCCGGAGCGGTCGACGTTGTAAGGTCAGCGGCAGGGGCTGAGGCCGAAGGTTTGTTTTGACGGCGGTGTTGCTGTAGGTCTGTAATCCAGGAGGTTGTGGCTTTCCTTTTAGGCACTGGCAAGACCTCGGCTACCTCATTATCTACGTCACGGGCCGCCCCGACATGCAGAAGCAGAGGGTGGTAGCGTGGTTAGCACAGCACAACTTCCCCCACGGGATCGTCTCGTTCTGCGACGGGCTCGTTCACGACCCACTGCGGCACAAGGCCAACTTCCTGAAATCCCTCATCACAGACGTAAGCCTGGGTCTACTGAAATACGATCGTGGCGTGGGTTCAGATTGCTGCTCGTCTGATTGCCCCTGTCAGCACCAGTCTCTTGGCAGCGATGCGACCCGCAGTGGAAGATTAATCTCTGTTCATTTTATTTTCATCCTTTTATTGCTCTATAGAAGTGCCTACGCTCTTAAATTGTGCCTTCTCCACTCTGCGCTGTCCCATTTCATCACTGGTCCTTCCAACACCAAATGCTTAATAAAACAGAGGGAGCGGTGCCTCCCCCTCCCCACGCATCCACTTTTTAACACCTGCTTGGTGGATTTGGGGCTGCCCGTGGTGTGACCAGCAGGTCCGAGGTGCCATAGGGGGGGCACGGGGCTGTCGAGGGGAACGGCCTTGCACCACCTAGCCTCGACGGGAGGCTCCACAGAGCGCCTTCCCAAGCCTTCAGCCCCAGGGAGGCTTTATTTTATCTGGAGCTTTTCTGAGGCTCTGGGCTGAAGGACGTTAAGACCTCGCCGGGGTTGAACTTTTCTCTGCCTGGCTAGTGAAATCACTGCCAGTGTCCGGAGCGCTGTGCCCTGCCTCGAGCAGCCGGGAAGCCCCTCGGTAACTCTCCTGGACTCCGTCATTTTGGCCCAAGTCGCAGAGGGGGCGGCAGCTGTCTCTGACTTGCTGTGCTGGGAGCTGGGCTGGCCGCTCGCCCTTGCCCTCCGGCAGGATGCGTTTGTGACCAGGGCCAGAAATTTCCCTTTCATCTTCCTGGCCTGCCTGCGGCTCCGGGGCCAAATCTTCGTTTCACGAAGGAGCCGCCTTTGCTCTCTGCTCAGAGGGGAGGCAGACGCATCCCTAAAGGGCTGTATGTTGGCTGCCTGTCCCTTCTCCCTCTGCCCCGTGGAGTTAGGCAGCGGTATCGCGTGCCGCAGCATGGCCAGGAAGGGGAGCGCTCCACGCAGACCACTGCTGCGCGGGGGCTTGCAAAACACTCCTCTGCCCCAGGGACAAGGAGGCAGCGGAGCGTGTGCCGTCCCTGCGCCCCACAGACCTCCCGGAAAGGCCTTTGTTCAGCGCGTGCTTTCGTATTGCTGTTGCTTGTCTTGTTCTGCCCTGTAAACATCCCTGGCTCTGTTAATTAGCGCTTTGCTCAGCGGTGCGTTATCCAGCTGGAAACTTACATAAGTTATTGACCTGAGATTCCCGCAAAGGCTATAATAAAAAGAAAAAAAAAAAAGAAGGAAAAAAAAAGCCCCGCCTGTTGAGCAGCGCAGAGCGCCCATATGTTCTGACCACGTGTTGCTTTCTCTCCCCGCAGCTCCACATGAAGATCCACGCGGCATATGGCTCGACTAAGGACATCTCTGTGTACAGCTCCATCAGCCTCCCGCCCACGCACATCTACATCGTTGGCCGACCCACCAAGAAGCTGCAGAGCCAGTGTCAGGTAGGAAACGGCCTGTCTGAGCCCTCCTGCACGGTCAGAAAAGCCCAGGGCCTCCCCTGGGAGGGCAGTGGGAGTTTGTCCTGGCCACTTTGGAACTGGTGACCGACCTTGTGTTTGCAAAGAGGACAGGGACTCTACCAGGATCCACCTCGCTGGTCAGAGCAGCTCTGTGACTTGTACGTCACCGCGTACAAGCCGAAGCGTTTGGTTGCCAGCGTCTATCAGGGAAGGGTGTGCAGTCCCTCTAACGCCTGTCCGCTGTCTTGCAGTTCATCACGGAGGGGTACGCGGCCCACCTGGCGCAGCTCGAGTACAACCACCGCTCCCCCTGCGGCGGACCATCTCCTCCCAGCCGCCGGGCGCCAGCGGCAGCGCCGGCCATCGCCCCGAGCGCACCCAGAGCCAGTCCGACAGCGACAAGGAGAGGGACAGGGAACGCAGCCAAAGAAGCATGAGCATCGCCACGGGGTGCTGGGGCCGGAGCGCAGCGTCCCGGCTGGAGTCTGGCCTCTTGGGGCAGAAATAGCCAGGCCAGAGCCAGCGACTGTCAGCTGTAGCAACTGGAGGAGAAAACAAAAGGAAGAGGGACGAGGCCAGCGTTACGGGCTGGAAGGGTAAATATGGTGCTACTCTAATAACATCATGGTATTCTGGGAGGAGATGGGATGCTTCCCACGCAGAACATGCAGGCCTTGCAGCGGGAGCGTCGGGTTTGTGCAGCAGGAGCCCAAGGAAGAGCTGGAAATTAGGGGGGAAAAGTCTCCAGGTCAAGATCGCGCGCTCTCCTGCCTCCTTCTCTTATCCAGGTTTAGTGACTGTAAATACGTGCCTCCTCGCCTTGTTAGCCATCGCTCCGATACGCGTGACCGAGTGCTGTCCTCAGAGCCGCAGGAACAGGGGATGAGGCTGGGGGAACTTGTTCGTGGTTGCCCCAGGAGTCAGACTGAGGTGCTCTGCCGGTGCTGGTGCCGGCGCGGGGTGGGGTGGGGATGGGGTTCGATAAGCGTGCGGTTTCCCGGCACAGACAGCCCCAAGCGAGGGGTGAGTCAGGGGCTGTGCCAGGCAGAGCAACCAAGAGCTTTACCCTGTACAAAGAGCTTCAAGTTCAGCCACTTTCTCGAGGAGCATGTGCAGTGGCAAAGCATAAAGATATATCGATGCTGTTGGTAGGGGCAGAACGTCAGCAGGTTCACGCCCAAGAAAGTGGGGTCGTTATTGTTATTACTGTTACTTTTTTAAAGAGACCTTTTAGAAGCCGATGGAATTTAATGCATTGACCTATTAAAAGAAGAATACAAGCTATTTTGTTTGAGCTGTTACAAACCTCAGACGTTTAATTTACTGTCTGTTAAAGTCTCCAAATATTATTGCTATATATCATTTCCAAAAGTAATCACCATATAGTTGCAAGCAGCTGAAGGCACTCGGCAGCTAGATCGCATTACAGTTCCCATCCAGATGCAGGGTCTGACTCTCTCAACACTCACCTCTGAGACGTTTTCTTCTTCCCAGGTTGTCTGCAAGTTCGGTAGCAGCTTTCATGGGAATTAGACTCGCTTCTTTTACCTGTAGTTACTGAACTGTAAAACCTCATTGTTTTTTGCACTGATAATTTTTAGAATGGAAACCTATTACCATCTCATGTAGCTACACCTAACTGTTTGTACTGCATGACAGTGAAATACTGCTAAGCCAGGGTGTGTATATGTATACATATATATATATATATATATATATACACACTTGTCCATATATATGTAGTATATATATACACATACATATATATATTTTCTGTGCAGAAGTTTTTCCAGCAGTAAGGAGACCGTAAGGAAGTGCGCCAGCAAAGTCGGGCAAGCTTAAGAAAAGGCCATATCTTAATTTTCCTGGTGTGTCGGCAGCGACTGTGCCCGAGCTGACGGTTGGTGTGCCGCGGGGCCGGCGCGCGGGGCCAGGCGCTCGCTGCTTTCCAGCCCCCCCGGCGACGCCGGCGCTTGTCCG